AAACGCTGTTGGTCCGTTGTGGCACACAAAGTCTTTGAATGCTTGTGTGCATGTCCTCCATTCTACTGATGAATAAGAGGGACGAGTCGTACTCAACATTTTCCTTCCTTGTAAACTTACTTTTTTCAGAAACTTACTGTTAGGCAGACTGTAAAGATAAAAGAAATAGAATTTGGTTTACCAAAACCCATAAATCTGTAGTTCCAAAAAGTAAGGCTTTGCCATTCTTATCGCAAGCTTTCAGAAAAGTCAGGCTAAAAAAAAAAAAAAAAATGGCGCGTCAGGTTTCGGTAATGAATACATGTATAAAAATGTTCTGTAGGACGCAATTGGTCCCTTTATTCTAAAGAAACACTGTACCAAGTTATTTTCTGCGTAGAAATAACCACGCAGAAAAAAAAAAAAAACAATCTAGAGGTGAAAAGAAAGATACAAGAAAAAAAAAAAAAGGACTGCCCAAGGGAATTGAATGTGTAGGGATTTACAAGTCAAGGTTGTGCCATCTTTTTCTATTTTTTTTTTTTTTCCGCTTACGTGATTTACCCATAAGACGGAGTGTTATGTGAGTAACACCCTCACCGCGTATAACGCTGGTGTGCAGTTCTAGAAGATGCACGTCCAGTGTGTGTGGGTCGTTGAAAAAGAGGCGTAACCCCGTAGTTACGAACAGCAGTAGGATTGACAGATACCACAAAAGGTTGATGAGCTGCCTGAGCTGTGTTGTATGGGCACGTGTCAGGAGCATAGCAGACATGGCATGGTGGACTGGGTGACAGTTCTTGATACATCAAAGAAGGATGCGGCACCGTTTGATGAGAATGTGCCGCTTGGGCTTCCATTGGTAATACTCCTCTTTCTCTTTGCGGTGCTGGAGCTGAAGTTGGAACTGGAATGGGAGCTGGTACTGGTTCTGAAGGTGCTTCTGGCAAAAATGAAGGTGGAACTGGAATTGAAGCTGGAGGAACTGCTGTTATTGTTTTCGCAGTTACTGATGTCGCTGCACCTGTTGTTGCTGTTGCTGTTGTTGTTGTTGCTGCTGCTGCTGCATGAACGGGCGGTAGTTCTAACCTAGCGGTAGTACTTGGTGTCCCACTCGCCCGCGTTGATGGCAAACGTGTAGTTCTGGCATCGTACAACTGAGTAGGAACCACTCCAGGTTCCTCTGTACTCAGCGTACCCCTCAACAACTGCACCGCTTCTCTATTTAACGCGCATACACCACGTACAAGTGCAGTTCTCGCTTCTTCTTCCAATTCATCACTGCGACGTCGCTCCTGTTCCACGATATCTTTAAGAGTCTCTACCTCTGCAAAGAGCGCCGTCTCACGAGATTTCCATTTTGATTCTTCAGCTAGAGCAAGTCTCTGCTGTCTACGTGCCGCAGCGAAAAGTCGCCACTGTGTGTATACATGATATGTTCGAAGTATATTTCCTGTACGACTCGTCACATCTGAAAGTTGTCGTTTTTTCTTTTTCTGAATAACCCAATGTAACCAATGCCGAAAAAGACGCTGACAAAACATTTGCTTGTATACATCGCCCAAAGCACCAGTCACGCGCCGTACAAGAGTCGTTTGTTTTTGGCTAGTATTCTCCGCCATACGAAGCAAGACCTCAGTTTCCTTCTTCTTCTCCATTAGTACCCTTTCTCGACGTTCCGCTTCATCTTGCAGCGATTTCTTTATAGCAACCTGCTGCTCATTGAGGTGAGAGGCCAGCATGTCTACAATATTTTCTCGCATTTTCGAAACGTGGGTATCTATACTTTTACCCACATTTTGCAAGAACCTCTCCTTTTGGAGAACTGCTTCCTCTGACATTCTCCTCGTGACCGTCAGTGTCAAGGCCTTCTGGTAAAGAGGAAAGAAGGAGAAAAAAATATTTTTGATAGATGTGATAAAGAAACAAGTATAACGAGAAAACAAAACAAAACAAAAAAAAAAAACATTTAAACTCTTGAAATACTCATGCTAAATATTTCATTCTGTAAAAAAGCGCACAATATGCCTTACACAAATATATATATATATATATATATATATATAAGGTTTAGAGCATATCTCTTTCTTTTTCAGAAACAGCAAGTATATCTACATATGCGTAGACATGTACATGTTAAATAACCCAAACTGTAAAACGAGCATCCTGTATAGACATATTTTCGGGTTATTATTTCTTCTTGATGTCACTGTATATTGTGTTGTGGCAGTTGTTGTTATTGTTTTTATGGGACTTTGACAAACCCCAATTACTCATGGCAGTGGGATATTCTTTTTCAGTTCTTTGTTCAAGAACGTTATGAATCTTTCTGCACTCCCTTCACCATCGCATGGGACGATTGTACCTGTCGCTTTAAGCAATGAAAACTTAGGGTATGCATTCACGTCAAATTTATCAGCGATATCACCGTTACTTGACGCCTCGGCCGCCACAAACATAACATCACTTTCAGAAGCGAAAGCCTCTGCCGCTTTAATAAACTCTGGCTGAATACTCTTGCATTGGTTACTCCAGGATGCGTAAAGCATGAAAAATGCGTTTTTGCCTTTGACCTTTTCTTTGAAATTAGTATCATTCACCTCCACCACTGATTCCGGGAAGGGTAAAGTTACGGCAAAGTCGTCTTCAAAATCTTCATCCATAGACATGATGCCATCGTCCGACTTCTCCTCCTCGGTAGGGATGTGAAAGGATTTGATTACCACTATCGCTCTTAGCGGTGCATCTGGGGGTACCTTAAGCCTTCCGTTTCCGCTCTCTCCAAAGGCATAATCGGCAGGGATACGAATAGAACGAGTCTCTCCCACACAGGCACCGATTATCCCTTGTTCCATTCCAATAATTGTTGAACCAGAACCAACTGAGCGGATGACTTTATTTTCTCCCTTCATTATCTCTGTTCTGTTATTCTTGCCAAAATCAGTGAAGAGCTGGAAATCGATTGTGACGTGTGAACGGACCTTAACGCGCTGATCCTCTGTGCATGATGGGGCACGGTGGAGCACACCAACAGAAACCTTTGGCTCCTCCCTCTCATCCCCTTCATCACCGTGGTGCCCTTGATGGGCCAACGTCCCCTGAAGCAGCAGGGAGAGAAAGGCAAAAGTAAGAATAACACGGTGTATCATTTGAAAACCCCTTTGCATCGCTTCATCCATAGAAATATAAAAAGGAAAAACAAAAAAAAAACAAAAAGAAAAAATAAATAAATTAAATTCAACAATAATATTTAAAGGAAAACAAAAAGAAAAAAAACTTTTACAGTTCATTTAAAAAATAATAATTCTCATTCTCTCATTTAAGATATAGGCGTATAATAAATTAAAGAATACGTTTCCCAAATATCATAATCATATAGTAACAGCAAAGAAATAACAATAAAGAAAAATAAATAAATGTAAAAAAAAAAAATAAATAAATAAATAAATAATAATAATAATATATATCCCTAAAGAGGAAATCACCTCTGCGATAAGAATGGTTTTTGGATCCCTTACTCAAGAGCAGATACACAGGAGAATATAATGCTACTTTTCTGCAAACATATCCTTTGTGGAGAGATCAGGTTGTGTTCCCAAGACTTCTTCACCCATAGGGGAGGTAGAATTCTGTTGCTCCTGTAATTTTGCGGCTTGATGGGGATCCAGTGTAGATCCATGAACACGAAGAGACTCTTTGCGTTTTTGAAGCTCTGCATAATCTTTTGCGGCCATATTGGAGCGGAGATTTGGATTATTGGTTATTCGTTCTTGTCTCACTGCTTCACGATATAGCAAAGATGAACCATACGTAAAAGTAACATGGTTAGAATCAGCTAAATGGGCTTCTAACGCTCGAATAGTTCGGTCCAATTCCCGTCTATCTATAAGATGTGCCATCTTTTCCCGTACTTTTGTTAATTCTTTTAGAAGTATTCTCTTTTGTTCCTCATTACCTGGCAAAAGAATTTGGCACATGCGACGTAATGCATCATTAATTAACTTATTTCCACGAGTACGGGAAGCAAGAGCGCTTTGTGTATAAATGTAGAGAAAAGCTGGTTCATACATATCCCACATCTTGCGTACTTCTTCAGCATCTTTAGGATGAACACGGAAGGCAAAATAGAGATGTGTCCAAAATAGGTATGGATCGGAACCCTCATATTCTAATGCCCGCCAACGCAAAATCTTTTTTCGAAAAGCTTCTTCAGCAACTTTATTTACAAGAGAATAATACTCATCTAACTCACGCAAATAATCACCACCAAGTGAACGTTGACGCATATTTTCCAAAAGCATTTCATTAGATGGATTCTGACTCTTCATACGTGATTTAACTGTATTTACAATAAATTCCCCAAATGCAGGTAAGTTAGCATGAACTACAGCAACCCTATATGGAAGATCAGAGAAAGGTTCTATCCAGTGTCGAGGTTCCTTTATTGCGAATAGTTTGTCTACCACAATTTCTACCTCTTTTAAATGTCTTTCAAGATCTATACCAGGCTTATAAACTCGCATAAGAAATTTTGCCTCTGTTAATAAAGGTGCTTTCCATGATGGAGGTAATCTTTCACGTGCTACTCTTATAGCTAAATGATATAAATTAAGACATTTTTCACGATATGAGCGACCTGTTTCAAAACGTCCTTGTCGAAACATTAACTCACTATGTTCATAATATACATCTCCTACATATCGCATCCAAAGATGTTCTGCTGTTTCTTGAGTCAATGGTGCCCCTTCCAGAAAAGGACGTGCACGCTCTGGAAACGGATGAATAGAAGGATGTGTTTTCTTGTTAATATTTTCAAGACAACGATCAGAAATATCCAGAGCGAGTGTTATGCGACCTCGGCGTTCATTATACCAAATATATTCTGTTTCATCAGTAACAGGATACCATCGTTTGGATGTTCCTGAATGCCATAATCCTTCTGCTTTATCTAGTTGTCCAGTGATTTCAGCATATACAGCATTTTCTCCGTCAAGAAAATCTTTTTCCTCATATTCATATGGAGGATCAGAATCAGGGATAGGAATTTGTACAATACCATTTGCAGCTTTGGCATAGTTTGAAAACCATTCAATAGAATCTTCAAATAATTCTTCAGCCCTAGTACGGAATCTAGTGTCAGCGAATTCTATATACAATCGATGTAATTGTTTACCCGCGTAAAAACAAAGTGCACCACGACACCATTGAAAAAATGCTTCAACAGTTGCATCACGTGCAGAGTCTTTAATACCTTCCAAACGCATTGGACATTTAAATCTTGCATCATTTATATGTTTTTTAAGAAATTCTAAACTTGTTTCAAGTTGTTCAATACTTTGAAAATCTGTTAAAATAAATTCGCTAAGTTCATTGGTGATCCAGTTCATAAATGGTTTCCCCAATGGTTCATATTTATGATCTCGAATCATAATGACATAACGTTGTGCAGGATTTTTTCTGATGGAATCTAACTCTAAAGATGTCATCTCTTGTATAAAATTCATAAAATTTGGTCCTAGTAATTTACATTTGCCAGAAGTTCTTCTTAGTATCTCATCTGCTTCTGATTTTGCTGTTGCAGCCTCTGTCATACGATTTCCTTTAAATTTGTAAAAATCTGAAAGAAAATGTTTTGTATGTGCCTCAAATATCATTCTGAAAATTTTTTCATGTTCTTCAGGGATTTGTGGATGTTCCCCAACATCTCCACGACGAAATCGATCCATTGTATCCATTAACATACGTTCACAATTTTCTTCTGTTGTCATTTGTGTAAGATTCCCAAATTCTGTGATACTCTGTTGAAAGGTGTCTCGATAAGCACGCCAAGTCTTTTCTAAATCTGCCTTGTTGAAATCGACTGCATCCTCCTTCGCAACTCCACGATATGGATCGGTAACAGAATCTGTTTCCCATGGCAAAGTGGGAAGGAGAATATCCGGATCATACTGAACCTTCGCTTTCCGAAGTCGTTCTTGTCGCTCCTTTCGCAACTTCTCAGATTTTTTCTCCGACAACTTTAATTCTCCTTTATCCTTTTTGATTTGATCATTTTTGGCAACTTCTCGAAAGAGTGGAAGAGGTTTATATCCCTCTACTAACTCTGGTAATGACTTCAGTCTATGCATTTTTATTTCATCAAAAGATGAAACACCACATATAGCATCATCATTTGTAATCCGTTTTTCTTCTACTAGTTCTGGTGGTTGATAGTACTCCTTCACTACTTTCTTTTTTACTTCTAATGGATCATGGGTCATATCGTATGCTTGAATAAGAGGTTCCGTCTCTACAAGAGTTTCACGGTACCATTTTGGAATAGTATCCATCTCACGATTCTGTGGAATGGTGTAAAGTTCAGGTGGAATATCTGGTTCTGCGTTATATGGACGCTTTTCTATTTCAATAAAACCAGAAGGACTATTTTTCAAGGTTTGATGCAATTCTGAATTATTTTCAGAATTGGTTGATAAATTTTTTTCACAAGTTTTTAACTCATTTTTTCTTTCGATAGTTAGTGTAGAATTCTCAATTTTTTCTAAAGTATCTTTTACACTATTAAATGATGATATTGTTTTATAAGTATTTTGAAGTTGTTTAGTGGTTTCAATTTTTTCTTCAACTAAAGTTCGAAGTGCTGGACGATCATCATGTTGTTTAGATGTGCTGTGATGTGCTTTCATAAGAGCTAGGACTGGATCTTGACCACTTTCTCTTGCCATATCAGCTCTCTGTTCTAACATTTCATTTTGAATATTTGCCTGGGCAGCGATAGATGCACCTTGTTCAACTGTTATGCCTGTAGGAAGTGGTTCCATATCTGCTTTTGGTAAACCTGAAATGGGGTCTATTTGTAAAGATTTTCTTTCCTTTCCACTTTGTATTGCCTGTTGGGCACCATATGCCTGAATTTTTAATTTCGTACGAGCAACTTCTAAAGGGTCTGCGGTACCTGAAAGAGCTTGATATGTTTGCTCCGGGTCAAGATCTACCACACCAGATAAAATTCCATTGTATACATTTCCCATCTCTAACTGACGTTGTTCTTCTTCTTCCATCAATACACGATCTTCACGAAGACTCTGATGTACCGCTTTCCTTTCTTCTCCTTCTATAAGCCACATACGATCTTTGTATTTTGTATCAGCTAAATGTTTCCATGATGTATCAGACCATCGCTGATCAGATGGAAGAACTCGACGTCTACCATGTTCATCATAGTGATCAAGATAATCTGTATAACCCTGTGGCCAAATCATACGATCCTTTTGAATTTTAAATGATCTATCTTTCCAATGTAAATACCATTCTTGTTCTCGTTCAATAGGGTCTTGAATATATAAATCAAATCGATCACGTACATCTTGAATTATTTCCTCTGAAGTTGGTATAAGTGTTTTTCGCCATCGCACTTCCCATGGAAGTCCATCAACATCCTGTTGTTCTTGTAACATATCACGTCGTGTTTGTTGAGAATTTTTCGTTAATCGTTCTCCAGGACCGTACTTTCCAAATTTTTTCTGCATTTCACGTTCCTTTTCCACATCTGTGCGACTACGACGTTCTTCTGGAACATCTCGAAGTGTTATATGCTCTAAATTATTAAGAGCAAATTGCATATGTTGTGTTAGATCTGGTGGTTCCGTTATGGATATTTGATTCCCAGTGGTAGGATCTGCATTTGGTTGGTTTCTCCGGCTTTCTCGGGACATTCCCACAGAATGACGTACTTGTACGTACGATCCCCAAATCATCGGGCATGGGTGAGAAAATCCATCCCATGAGGTTCCAATGATGCCTGGAAAGGATGTTTGTGAGTGAACACGTCGCATTCCCTAGACCCCCTACCCCACCCTTTTCGCTAGTATTCCACTCAAGTATAAATATATTCACTTTAAAAAGAGTTAAAAATAAACTCTTCCCACTTGTAAATTAAAGCTAATAATAACAATAATAAGAAAGCAAAAACAGCATAATAGAAAAAGAAAAAGAAAAAGAAATTATCTCAAATATAAAGGTTATAGGCATAAATCCTCTTTGAAGTATAAAAGCAAACCCCCCACCCCACCCCAGTCCCCAACTCATGAGAAAAAAAAAAGGAAATGTTCAGAATAATTGTTACAACGTCCGCCATCTCCAATTTGTGCTTTTTTTTTTTTTCTTCTTTGGCTATTTTTTTTTTTTCCTTTTACGTTGCAAGTACATTTTTTTTTCCTTCACTTTTTCAATAAATAAAAAAGATTCCTTTACGAGAAATATGAAACAAGAGGAACCCAAAGGCCTCATATATATATATATAAGGAAATATATCCCTTTGGGATTTCTCTTATACTAAGATATTGTCACGGGGCGACGTTTTCCCTTTGTTCCGTCTGAATCTTTCGATGATTTCTGAGACGGTGACTGCACATTCTCTTTTTTGGCAACGGATGGTAATACTTCACCTTTAAGAACTCTTTTGATTTCATCCCCAGATAGTGTTTCATGCTGAAGTAGTTGATTGGCAACAGATTCAAGTTCTTTGCGGTGATTATATAACAATTGTTTAACATCTTTGTACGATTCTTGTAAAAGAGAAGCCACTTCCTTTTCAATTTTTTTCTTCGTTTCATCAGACATATAGGCACCTTCTGGTGTATCTGCTGAACCATAGTTAACAAAACCAAGATCATCACTAAATCCGAAACGTCTTACCATATTTTGTGCTAATTGTGTTGCCTGTTGAAAATCGGAGCTAGCTCCAGTACTTACATCCTCGTTTCCAAGCAACATTTCTTCACCAACTCGTCCTGCAAGACAAATCTTCAATCGCGCCAAACATTGTCTTTTACTTTGACTGTATACATCTTTATCAGGCAATTGCTGAACGAGACCCATGATACCACTTCCTCGTGGAACTATTGTTGCTTTATGTACAGGATCAGCTCCTTCTCCTTCTAGGAGAATTGCTGCCAAAGCATGAGCACTCTCATGATATGCAGTCAATCGTCGTTCTCCTTCAGGAATAACTTTCTTGCTTGCAGCACCCATCATTACTCGATCTCGTGCATATTCCACATCTTCAACAGTTATAGCGTTCTTGTTAAGAACTGCAGCACGTATAGCTGCAATATTAACAAGATTACTTAATTCTGCTCCAGTAAATCCAGTTGTTCCACGAGCGATATCAAGTGCTTTTACATTACCATCAACTTTTACCTTGTCCAAATAAACTTGTAAAACTTCTGCTCGTCCTTTTACATCAGGAGGTTCTACTGCAACTGTCATATCAAAGCGTCCAGGACGAGTTAAAGCCTTATCTAAGGAATCAGGAGTATTGGTAGCTGCAATAACGATTACAGAATCTTTTGAATGAAATCCATCCATTTCTGCCAGAAGTTGATTCAAAGTCATCCGAGAATATGTGTGATCATTTCGTGATCGTTTACCACCTAAGGCATCAATTTCATCAATAAATATAAGTGATGGAGCTTGTGCCTTAGCAGCAGCAAAAAGTTCTCGAATACGACGAGATCCAACACCCACATACATTTCGTCAAACTCACTTCCAGTAGAGTAAAAGAAACTCACTCCAGCCTCTTTTGCAATAGCTTTAGCAAGCATCGTTTTACCACATCCAGGAGGTCCTACCAATAGTGCACCCTTTGGAAGACGTCCACCAAGATAATGAAATCTCTCTGGATCTTTAAGAAACTCAACAATTTCTTCAAGTTCCGCTTTTGCTTCATCACATCCACGAATAGAATCGAAAGTGATATCTAGATCGCTCAAATCGACAGGTTTAACATCTGAAGTTCCAAACATCCCAGCAAATGATGTACGAGGAACAGCAATGGCTTTTGGTGTTGGGTTACTATCTTGCATTCTTGCACTGAGTTCATCAATAAGATTCAATACACAAGTCAATCCAATTCCAAGGAGTAAAAATAACCAGAACCCTGTAGCCCATGTAGTCTTTTGAGGTGCTGAAACAACAACTATTGGTCTCTCTTTGCTTCCCAATTCAGGTGCTGTGGATCCAAAATAGCCCAAACCATTTGCCCGTTGATTAGGAAGTACAGGTGGTACTTGTGGAACTCCCTGGTAAACGTAAGGTGATGCATAAGGATTCTGCATTGATGAATATTGAGGAGGATATGGCGGTGGAGGAAAAGCTGCAGGTTGAGGGGAATTATGATAATTGCGTCGCTGATCAACGACTTCCCTTGGAATTATGATTGTAGAAACTCTCTTCCCTGTGGCTGACCTGAAGCGTAAAGACACTGTACGATTTCTCAAAACAGCTTCAAAAGGTCCCAGAAAACGCCTCATCTTCTTTATAAGTAGAATAGAGACCTCAATGGATAAATATAAACTATCTACATGAAAAAAAAAGACAAATATAAAAAAAAAAGAAGAGAAATTCAAGCAAAAAATATATATATATATATTTCAAGAAAAAAAAAGAGAGAAACTGATTTAAATTTTAACCTTATTTAGAGAAATTATTCTTTTTTTTTTTCTCTTCTTCTTTCTGTCACCTAGTCAAACACTCTTTCAGTTCCTAGCGTCTCGCTTGAAAATATTTTAATTTCTTCTGGGGATATATTTCGAGTTTTTCTTTTTCTTCTAGTTTTTCATCCTTACTTATATATGATATCTCAATGCATTTCTCTCATATCATATCATATCATATCATATCATATGTTGTGAAGATCATCTCACGCGTATTTGGGTGAAGAGCTCCCAAATGATCCCTAAGTTGACTACCATGTTTGTCATAGAAGAACAACAATGATCTTATTTTCTCTTGGGTTCCTGGAAAATTACATGCTGACTGTTGCCAACTGTAAATTAGACGCATAGCATCGGGTAAGATAGCGAGAGCAACTTCATCAATCGTCAAAAGTGCGTTTATCAGGTGTATTGTTGCTACTGATTTGTCATATGTATTTTCTGATTGTGCCATAATTCGAGTAATTACCTCAGGACGTGATCGACTAATGAGAGTTGGCACCATGCCAAGAGTACGACATATGTCATACGCCATTTGAACAAAAACCATAAGAGAATCATTGTAGGCATCACTACGAATTGCATTAACAGCTGCAAAAAAAGCGGCATAACTTTCATTCGGGAACTCAGAAGAATAACACTCAACCATCAGTGTTATTAACCGTACCAACTCCAGCTTCACATGAGGATCATCAAAACTGTCAATAGAAGATGCGAGTGTAGAGAGTAATTTTACAGCCATTCCCATTGGGTAGGCAGAACTCCCAATATTCTTCAATAATCGATGGAGAAGTATAACAGCTGCTAATTTCACCGTTTGTTGAGGTGATTTAACAAGGAGTTGAAAACCTACACTTGCTAGAGATCCTTGTGTTCGATGTGCCCATTCTCTTAAAACCGTTGTTGAAGTAACATTTATAAAATTTCCACAGGAGTATATTATATTATATAAAAGATCGGTATCATCCTTTACATCCCTATTAACAACATCTTCTAACGCTGCTTGCCAACTCTCAAGAATATTAACAGAAGTTACAGGATCTGGAAAAAACGTTAAGAAACCAGAAATAACACGATCAATAGAAAAGAGATCCTTATCAAGATGAGTATTGGGTAATTCTTTGATGTAGACTGATACGTATGAATTCTCAAATAATTTTGCACGTTCAATTCGATTAGATTTAAATGCTTCACCAATATGCGAGTTCAATACAGTATTTTCTGAAACAGCAATTAAATGCAAAGCTAAATCAGAAAGAAGAGATAAATTTGCATCACAATAAACAGGTAAACATGCAATAATTGCTTCAACCAAAGAAGGAAAAACAGCGATAATTTTTCTTGTTGTTCCCATATTATGAGCTGTTACAAATGCCGTGTTAAGTGCAGAAACTGCCGATCTTTGAATACGCTTACTGGTACTTTGCATTCGCGTAATAAAAGCTGTCATGATATCAGTGATAAAAGTACCATCACATGCATATGCCCATTCCAAAATACGGGATAATGTCCATATAGCAATACTAACCACAAAGACATCCTCTGATGGTGAAATAACTGAATTTACAAGTTGGTGTACAAGAACTGGAAGTGTATTCTCAATCTCATTATAACACCCACTAGCAATTGTACCAATCAATACAATAGCTGCTTCCTTTAGTCGTCCATCAGAGTCCCATAAATTTTTAACCTGATCGATTAAATATGGATACACCTGCTTACTTGAAAACATAGACAAAGCATCAATACAACGTAATGCTGAAGAACGAAGTGCTGGTGCCCCTTCTTCATCATCATCAAGATATTTATCTTCTGAAATATCCTCATTTCTTTTCTCCAAATGATAATCAACTGCCATTGCATCACGCAATCTATAATCATCATTTGAAAGAATACTATCTACTTCCTCTCGTGACATGGGAACGAAATTCACCAAGGCAGGTATAAGTGTAGATAAGCATTGTGAAATTGGTTCAACAAGAAGGGATATAACCCCTTCTCCACCCATGCGATCATATATTCCCAAAGCCGTAGTCAATAAATCCATTGCAGCTATTTTCAATTGAAAGTCATATTCACTCACAGTTTCTTTTGAAGAAACTATATTTATTGTATGATAAACCCACCATTTGACTAATCTCGTCATTTCAGATTCAGAGATAGGATTAAAATACTCTAAATATTCAAGCATCACGCTACACGAACGCAACACTTCAATCATTAAGGCAATATCACCATCGCATCCTTGTTCTAAAAGAGTCGTACAAACACCTGCAAATATACCACTTGCACCCGTCAATCCATTTTGTAGCGGTGATAATCCTTCCACATTCCAATCAAGAGATTCAGCTCGTTCATAAACGTTAGAACACATTCGAAATGCAGCTTTACGAAGATTTGGTTGTATACTTTGATCCAATACAAGTGTTACAACTCTTTCAATAATTTCTTTACTCGCAACACCTACAACTTTTGGAAGATCTTCCATTAAATATTGAAGTGTATAAAGGGAAGATAATGTTTTAACATCACCTGCTCTAAAAAGTTCATTAAGAAGCAAGTGAGGTAAATCCCCAATACCTGACTCTCTCCACCAATCAAAGGAAGTAAGAGCGGTTATCTTAACAACAATTTGAGCTGCCACACGAGCAATGCGTACATCTATTGGATTACCTAAGACAAATAAGGCACAACGAGCAGCCTCCTTCACAGCTGCTAAACCTAAAGCGTACTCCGATTTTTCAAGATTGTTCTTTAAAGTAATACCCGCAAGTCGTCTATATTGAATCCAAGACCCACCAAGCTCTAAGTTTTGGATAGGGCAATTCTCCGCGCCAAAAACATACGACAACAAAACACAAAAAGCCGGATTTGCTTGATATTGTTGCAATTCTTCATATGCCCTTTTTGAATTCTGCACACTAACACCGTTATCATGAAGAAGTCGTAGAACACTTAGAATATCTCCTTGAGTTGGATGATATGCCTCTTCAGAATCCATCTTTACAACTATAACTATTTTTTTGGTGGATTGTGGTACATATTTATATATAAAAAAAAAAAAAAAACAGAAAAATAGAGAAATAGGAAGTTACTTGTATTGGTGTTTCTTTCTATAATCATAGCAAAATACTACAAAGAAAAACATCACACCAGTAGAGTCTCCACCGAAAAAAAAAAAAAAAAACATCAACAAAAAAACGAAAATAAAGGAGTCCCAACAATCGTGGGAGAGAAAAAAAAAAAAATGCATATAAGCACGACACCACCCCTTCTTATTAACCCACACAAAAACAAAAATATCAGCAGCAAGGGCGGGGGGAAGTCCACCTGAATACTTCCAAAAAAAAAAAAAAAAAAAAAACGCAGATACATCAAAATAAAAAAAAAAAAAGACAACGCCACAAGACATGATGGGGATGGAAAAAAAAAAAGAAAGAACAAACATAGGGAAAGAAAAACCAATACAAACCTACCGATGGGCGGTAAGGCACCACACAACCGCAGTTATTTACGGGAATAGTGGCGGAACAGTACGAAATTTTCAAAAAAAAAAACGTTCCGCGGTTTGGCGGCCATTGAATCCACCTATATTGCCGCGAGTAGGAAAGAAAACGTTCAACAGAACACAACCGAACGACAGCACCAAAACATCCACGAGCACCACCACACCACATAAAAAAAAAAAAAAACATCGAAACAACAAACAGCAACAAGCGCCATGAAAAACGACCCCCCACCCCCAGGCGACCCACAAAAAAACCACCGGGCGGCGGGGAAAAAAAGACAAAAAAAAAAAAAGTCCGACCCCTTTCACCCCCGGGGCGCCCGCCAAAACGCCCTGTTTTCCACCCACCCGCCCCCTTTTTTTCTTTTCGTAACCGAGCGGGGGGTTGGCGGAAACTTGCGGCGGCCCGACCTTCCCGCCCCCCGGGGCCCCGGCGGCAAGATGGCGGAAAGAACGCCGACACCCCAAACGAAGCCTGCCCCGGGGCCGCCGAGGTTCGTCACGGGAAGGCCCCGGGAAGCAAATCGCCAGCGACATTTCCAATGGGCCTCGAAAAAGGGGTTTGGCAGAAGAGACCGTGACAAAACCTCCTCTGAAACGCGCTGGTTGCCCGCGCGTCGCTGAGCGGCGGGCCCCCTTTACAACCAAACAGCGGCTGTGATCCGCCGCGGGGCCCCAATTTCCGCCAAAACCCCGAAACGACATCAGCATTTGACTCCTTGCACGCATTGTCCTGAGGAAGTGTCTGGGCTTCCGCCTTTTATTGGGGCCAGGGCCGCCGAACGGCCATTACGCTGGCAATGCCCAGAAAGCTTTTCCCCCTGGAAGGTGGGCAAACGTGCGCGTTTAATTTGTCGGTGATGAAGCCGTCCTGGTGGGGATTAATGGTGGCAAAGCATGTTGTTAAAACGCAAGCGGGTAAATGAAGCACTTTACCTTTGATCCTGCGCGGCACGATCGCTCGATTTGCCTCTTCCGGCAGGCGTCCGCTAAAGGACTTGGGATAACACTTCAGAAATGTTGTGCCTTATATGAACTTATCGGAAAAGTTTGTGAAAATACGATTGTCGGTCTCCACAGTGGACTGAAAGTTTTTCCGAGGTGTATTTTGTCAAAGAAGGAAGGTTTCAGGAGATCAAAATACAACCACGTAGACGACGCACCACCCAACCCAAGGCAATGGATCAATACCGAAGAATTTTTCCAGGCTCTTTTAATTCCTTCTGCGCCCAGAAGGCCCTCCCGCTGGGGTCCTGGGGGTGTGTCCGTGGTTGACGGTTCCTTTTGCTGATTGTTTTTGCCCCACCAAATTTGGCAAAGTCCTGCGAACACAGCGGAAAACGGATAGGTTGGATTTTCTGATCTCGACCCCGTCTTACTTTCAAACATTTGGCTATTTGCCCGGCCGCGTGTTTATTTTCTGTAGGTTTTGGAAAGGGGGCGCGTGATATATGGCAGTAAGGAAAACCAGTGGTTTAGGGAGATATACTAATTAAATAAAAGACCCCCGCTTCAATATGGTTTTTCACTTTCTTTCAAAAAATGATAAAGGCGCAAATGAAAACCAAGAGATTTCCTTAGCACGACCAAAAGCAACATTCGAATGATACACATCTAGAAATCATACGATCGTAAAGAAAAACAGTACAAAAAAATAAAAAACAATTGCTTGTTTTACTCTGGGGACGCGCTGCTGATAATTTGCCGCCCTGCCTCGGCGCCGGGGTTGGGCAACTGAGATTTTTGAGGGGAACGAAAAGCCATTAAAAATTTTCGGAAAGCATACAACTTCCTAAAATGTTGAGCCCAATAACTTTGAGAGAAGCATTTCATACATCCGCAAAGTGCTGAAGCCCAACGCGGTTCTATGGGGTATTTTCATGGGCAGAGTGCATACGTCCATTGGTGGGTTTCCAGGTTGGACGGTGATGAATGCATTTGGGGTGGGGGAAATGCAGAAAAAAAAAGGAGCGGCGCGCTGGTAAAATATCGGAACGCCTACCCTGGGGAAGTTTTTTTTTTTTTTTTTTATGCCAGCACTTTAAAACGACAGCGGCCCTTTAAAAAAAAAAAAAAAAAAAACAGACGCCCCTTTTTTTTTCTGGATTAAAACGCCCGGCGCCGCCCAGCCGCAGCCAATGCCTAATTATAAAACCTTTGGGGGCGACCTACCCGCACCCCTTGTGGCGCGCCTAACCCGCCACACATGTCAAGGTGAAATTTCTCTTCTATGTGAAGTGTAGCTTGCTGCAAAGTCCAGGGCGAAAGGTTAAAGTTTCCTTACTGAGTTTTAGGGGGTGGGAACCAGCAAACAACGGGACCACAGGAAGAGAAATCCCCTTCTGCAGGACCGGCCTGGGAAGCTTCTTCAAACCAACAGGCGGAACTACTGTTTTGGCCCTTCGTGGCCGAACTGGTGGTCCCTAGAGAACTTTCTTCTTCCCATTTGGTTGCCGTTGGCGAAATGGCCCTTGGCGGCGGCGAACGAAATCCTGTGGAAAAGGGTTCCGCCCGTGAGGGGCATCCGGTTTTTTTTTTTTTGTCCTTAGCGAGCAGCGAACGGGGCAACGCCAAACCAACAACCAGCCGCCGGTCGCCCGCCTATGGCGCCGAATCGCCAAGTGCTCTCTTCACGTTTTGGTCTAACTGAAAGGAGAAACTGCCACTTCCCTAAGAAACAGCACTGTGGTTAGCGGGTTGCCGGGTTTGCTTTCTTCTTTTCTTTTTAGTGGCGCCGCTACCAAAACACTGCCGGAATGGAAAGATTTGGGGTGTGGGCAGAGGCGCATTTTACGGACCACATTCGCCGGCATGGTCCTTCTTTTTGCTGCGTATACACGTTTAATCCATATGGTTTTCTCTTAGCAAAAACGCTTTGGTCGTGATGCGCGGGGATGTTCTTGCCGAAAAGAATTGTTGTAATCCATAGAGCCCTGGAATGATTCCAAAACATTCCGAATTCCGCGGGCCTTCACGCATCACAACGGCCACGAGTACGAAAAAAGAACCGTCTTGCCCTTTTCATTAACTCAGCGGGGGGTGGTGCTCGTTTTGGGAAACCGCCGTTGCCACACTGGGGTCAAGGATGGCAACGCAACCGTGCCATAGCCAGAAGGAATTGCAACAACAAAAAAAAAACGGCGGCACACCCCACACCCCAAAGAAAAAAAAAAAGCGCAGAATAAATTAACCATTGACGACCCTAAAAAAAATTTCCCGCCACCCAGCGAGCGCCGCTACCATTTTTTTTTAAAAAAAAGGGGAACACCCAGAGCAAGGTACGACCCAAAGGGCCGCGAAGAGGAATTCAAGAAACCCCATGCCGCCACCAGGAAACGACTTACAATAAAAATTCAGAACCGCGAGCCAGCGAGAAACCATTAGCCGCAGGCGGCGGTTTCCTGTGAGAACTGAACCTGGAACGCTTCGGCCCTTGTCGGTTCGAGAAGTTGAACGCCCCACCGAAGCCGGCAGGGCCGAAGCCCCTCAAGCAAGAGCCCCGCCCCCCCCACCACCCACGGGGGAATCCCAGGCGGGCCCTTCCCGCACACCACGCCGGCGAACAAAGGCGGAATCAATGGTCGCCGCACGCGTTTCTTTTTTTTCTTTCTTTCCGCCCGCTGCTGGGGCTGTGGGGGCAAATTCTGCGGCATTCCGGAGGGCGGCGTGAAGAAAAGGCTCTGAATTTTTTTCGAACGCACAACGTTTCCGCGATGCCCTCTCGCACGCATATCTTGTGCGACCATGCTTTTGAGTTTGCTTTTATGTAGAAAAACCATTTACTTTTACCAAAGCGCCGTCTAATTTCAGGAGGCTTTTTGGGTGGTTCCTCTTTGGTGGGGGGGGGGCGGTTTTGTTTGCCCATGATGCGGTGCAAAAAAGAAATTTTTATTCTTAAAAGCTTGACAACAACCCAATTAAAAAAGATACGGGCGATCTTTTTTTTGATGTAAAGCCCTGCCTTTTTCAAGGCCCATGTTAATTTCACATTGGCGCAAGGCATTAAAACAAAGCGGAATTTGGCACTAAGGCAGTTTCCGGATCAGCCTGCAAGGGTTAAAGGGGAGCACCCTTCATTTCCAATGGCGAAAGCCACCCGGGGACGAAATATTCACATGCATCGTGCCATTTTCATGGCGCCTCCCTGACGCAGATGGGGTTTTCAAACCGTCTGTGCTTTTTTTTTTCGGAAGGCCATCGTACGATCGATTCTTCCTTCCGAATGCGTTATGGGGAAGTTTCTCTACACTAAGTCATTCTTCTCGGCCCCGCGCACCCTCCGGAGACACGGCTGAATTTCACCCCACGCACGACGTCCAGCAAACAGCAGATCCTGATTATAAAGTTATCTTCCCAGAACGTTCGCTTTTGAGATATTTAATATTTAAATATTCCTATTTTGGAAAACCACACGTGGCGAATAAAGAAGATTGTAAAGGAGAAATGGGACCCATTCAATCTGGCGAAAAAGGTTGCCGCCTCTGGAAAAAAAATGCGATGTTTTGCCGAAGCCACAAATTGCCGACAGAGGAAGGGAGTGGGGCACCGTTTGCCCCCGCAAAAGAAATCCCTCTGGTGATAAATCATTGGCGCACACATATTTTATGGAGAATGATGTTAAGGATGAACAGGAGCTTAATGAATATACTCTCTGTTTGCCTTAGAAAACCCCTGACGCGGTAGAAGCGAGAAACAGCCACAATCCCCATCCATGCAAGTAATGGATAGGATAATCTGTTTGCCAAAGGATTGGAAAAAAAAAAAAGAAATATTTTTTCTACCTTATGGATCACTTTGGGTCGTTGCTGCGGTAGACGGAGCTTATTTAGACCCTCGAGACCAATGAAGCCAAAAGCATTTTGCCAGATTACAAGGTGCCAAGGAACTCTATCAAGAGAGGTGCAAATTTGTCACGCAACCCGGTAGGCAGAGGAGTCCGCTTTGCTTTTGCCCACGTTGGCCATGCCATTTTTGCCATAAGTATAAATCTTGAAAACCTCCTTGAGGAAATTCGTTTGTTCCAGGCGTTGGCTTCCACCACAAGTTCTGGAACCCATGAATGATTACTAGGCCGGCTCTTGGGCAAGACCAAGTTCCCTTGTGGGGCATTTAATGGCTTTAAAACCGTCTTGTTTTCCCGATGCCTCCCGCTAGTTCAACTAAATTTAGACCATTATTTGGGTTGAAACCATTGGAAAGTTAGCATGTGAGAATTTCACATAATTCCAGAGGCCGAGAAAGATCTCCTTTGAGTAGAGGTTTTGATTGCGTCGGCTGCTTTTCTTGAAGACTCCTTTGCAGTCGTCCCATGCTCGATCATAAAGTAAAAACTTTTCCTTTAAACGTTGATAACGGGTTGCTCAGTCCCAAAAGTAAAAATGAGGATGATTCCGAATGAAGCCGATCCACCTTTGAAGGCATCATTTTATCATTTTCTTTATCTATTTGATAATCTTAGAAAGTGTTGACTCATTTTGGGATTGTTCCATTTCTTTGGCCTAGCACAGTTTGCCTATATGAATGCGACAACTTTTTTTTCTTCCCGGCCCAGCAATGCAGATAGCTTCGTCTTGGCTGTTACAGTTTCAGCAAAAGTTTGTAAGGTTTATGCTGAAATTATACATTTTGTGACATCAGCTACTGCTACGTTTCGGAGGCAGCGGTGTTACAGTGGAGAGCCCCGCAGCCCTATTTCTCTCTAGAAGTCTGGATTTGAAACGTGCAATTCCCAAGAAAACACAAAGAAATGTTGAGATAAGAGAAGATGATACTCCAACGCAGCAAGAGTTGCAGAGCGATAATGGGATACTGGATTTCAACGGTTTGCCAAGTATAATTTTTTTGTCCTTCTTGCTGAGCGGTTTCTTTTCTTCATCTCTCAAATTTTGTGGGGTTACGTAAAAAGTATGTTGTTCTTTTTCGTTCTGCACCTTTACCGTTTGCTTTAGAGAGTGGTGAAAATAAAATTAAAAACATCTATTATTTTTTCTGTATAGCTAGGGAAGCTGAACAGCTAACAGCAACGCCATTCATAAGCATCTCATTTGGAAACGGTTCACGGCAGCAATCGGTATCCCGATGTGCTGCTTGTTGCTGGGGCGCAGTGATATCCTTCTCCCTAAAGTAACGCACGTTCTCGTACATTCAAAAGCGTCTCCCGCACTACGTTGTTGCTTTGCCATGCTGGTGGTGGTTGTGGGGTGGAGACTGGGGGAATCCCGTTTGATCGGTATATAAAGCTAAAACGAACGCAGAGAGATTACCGCAGATCCAACGCCTTGCTGCTAGCAACAAATTGTATGGTGAAGAGAATTTTTTATCTGTTTGGTAAAAACAAGGCATTTCCCTACCAGTTAAGGTTCTGCTTTTCTTTTTCTAGGGATCTATCACCATGAAGTTGTTCGCCCTAATCTCGGCGGCGGGGCGCCCATTCTCACACGAGAAGGACCGCCAAATGAAGGCCAAACCGGTGCTTCTGGTTGGCATTTGGCTGTCATATGAAAGGATCCACTTAGAGTCTAGATTGAAGGCTTCAATTTTATCGGCTCACCCCCATCTAGCCTCAAACACGAAACCTGTTGCACATTTGAACAAGAATGCAGGTCTTTTGGCACTAAGGTGCAATGTCCCACTTGATTCTTCTAAAGATGCCATTGCGCAGTAGTGTATTGGGAAAGATTTCTACGTTACATGTACCGGAGGGTGAAGATGACGCAGGGATAGAAAACTATCTTCAATACCAGAGGTGACAACATCCTAAAAAATGCCTCGTATTCAATTGGATGGCATGGTCAACTAAAGAGACGCTATGCAGATTAGAATCTGCGATAGTCCCATCTGAAATGATGGCGGTTGGGTAGAAATAAATTATTTTTTTTTCCCCGGATGCCAATGGCATGTTTTTTTTTTTTTTTAATATGCCTTTATTCTTTTTGATTAGACCCTAACATTGCGGAGAAAAACGTTTCATCACAGACTGCATTCGCTGCCGCAAGAGTTGTGCGAGTGTCTCTGTGCGTGGGGATCCTTTTGTCTTTTGTGGGCCCCCATAATTTTTTGCAATATCGATTCCTTTGATTCTTCTTTTTTTTTTTTGCAAATTGAGTTTATTAAGAGTTTATTTTAAATTTTTCAATGGGGAGGAAAAACGGCTTTCGAGAAATACCGTCCGCGCTCTTTGCGCCCCGTCTCTGATGGAAGGCCCCCTTTTTAGTATTTAGTAGGCCCCAACCCGCTGCAATTTTTTATTTTTTTGCTTCCTGATGGGTGTAACGGTTTGCATTCCTTCACGAATCCATCAGGACCGGCTGCATCGAGTTCATCCTAATTTCCGACATGCCCTTTAAGAGTGGGCGATCCACGGTGGTCTTGGCGATTCCCGCCGGCAAGCCCCGCGGTTTGAGACGCGCCCCCCACCTTCGCAAGCACGAACGGGGATAACCGCTTAAAAAAAAAAGGTAAATTTCAAAGGGAGGCGCTTTAATAACGAGCCAAAACGTAAAAGAGGTCCGTAACTAGACAACTTGGTGGCAGCAGGGTTGTTTATTCGCAGTGCCCGCGCTGGGCCGTTTGGAGGCTTGGAGACAAATGGGTTTATACTCTTCTGGCGAGGGATTTGGTTTAAAGTGGGGCCCTGCATTCCTTACCTGATATGGGGTTTCGCTTTAGACGCACCGGTGCGGGAATATCCCATGTAGGAAACGGTTTCTCTCAGGGGAGCTTGGAATAATCTTTGGCGGGTATCCCTATTCAACCTCGGCATTTTCCGCAATGGGTGGTTGGGAACGCTTGGCGGGTTCAGAATCCCCAGCGCGCCCCGCATCGAACTTTACCGTGGCCCCAAGGTTCTCCTGGGAACGAACCGCGCGGACACCCTTTATTTAGTAGAAAGAAGGGTTTTGCAAGGAAAGCCTGAGTTGCCGCTCCAGTCAGGTGCCTTTTGCTTTTCTCTAACGGTTTGGACCCTCTCTTGCCCATGGCCCTCTGGGATAATTGTAAGGGCGGCGGTGCTGATTGTAGTGTTAACCCGTCTGCCGCGTACGTCGCGCAATGGGTCCGCGGGGGGCCTCGATCGGAAACGGACCCGCCGAACCCGTTACCGAGAGCGCCATGGCCCTACACCGAAATAGGTGAACACCATTCCTCTTTCTCGCATTGCTCTTTTGTCGTCTCTTCCGCGTTTCGTCTCTGGCATAAGGCCCCCTACCACCTGGGTTACGTGCGTGGGTTTCTCTTTGGGCCGCCGTGTCGGTCCCTTTTTGCCCCGATAATATACGGACGCCGGCGTTCCTGCAGGGAAATGGCTATATTTCTGCTCTTGGGGTCGTGCGGGGGTGTGGGTGCTTAGTTCTTGTGGGCGGCTGCGATTCTGATGTGGTATCCGGAGAGCGCGGGGAATGAGAAACGTTTATCTTCCAGAGGGCCACGGCCCCACCAAAAAGCCATTTTTGTTGTTTTTATGAACCCTCACGGAATTCTTTCAGGAGCATTTTGCGAAACGCTAAGCGCAGGCGGCGGAATCGTGTGCTTTGCTTCTGTGGTGGTGTTTTGTCTTGCTTCGGCTGGGTTGTTTCTTTTGTGATTCGGGGTATTTGCGACCGGATGGGAGATATGGCGCCTTCGCTTTTTCCAAAACCCAACCATGGCAATTGGAGACCCCGGTGGTGAATCTTGCGGGTAGGTTATGGTTTCCCTTCCGGTGGAATAAAGTAGTTTGGCACCGGTTGGGGATGAAGGCAAATCTCCCCCAAAGAAGGATTTTACAGCAGAAGCCCCTTGGGGAAAGCAGCGGTGTTTTCCTTCAAACCCCCATTCAGCAGCTACTTAGCCAGGGTGGCGTCTTGAGCGACAAGTTGGCATTTGAAAGGGCGCCTTCAGGCATCAGTTTCCCACCTAGCATGGCGCAGAAGGCCCCGATGATCTGCGACACTGCTGGCCCAAGCAGAAACGAATTTTTAAAATCAAAAACCCTTGGCAATGCCGGTCGCCCCAACATGGTGCCAAGGTCCAGCGGTTCGCATTCTCAAAGGAAGCGAAGGGCCAGCGACGTTTTTCTTTTTGGAAGACCCGTTGGCCCTCAGGCCACGGCGTTGTACAGCACAGGGACCAGCCGCGTCGTACCGGGCGGAAATATATCCAAGAAGGTCCTGGGGCACGTGCCGACGCGCTATCAGCAGTATCACCCGCACCAGGTTGCTGCCGAGTGGTGTTGTAGAGGAAAATCCCGGCCCTTCACTGCGAGGTATGCAGTGGAACTCAGCTGGGCTTATCCAGGCCGAGAGGCTTGCTCACCACAAAACCCTTGTTGAGGAGAATGTGACATTCTGCCTTCTAAGCGAGAAGAAACTATCTTGTGCGGAAGTCTCGAGTTTCACAATCGCTGGTTACCAACATCATGGAGTGTCCCACCCCTCTAAAGGAGGCGGTGTTTCGATTCTTGCGCGCGAAGATCTGCCAGTAGAAGTAGGACTCACCGTAGTTGCAAGCATTGAGTATGCTCATGCAACGATCCACATGTCAGAAGGTCTGGCGCTCACAGTGACGTCAGCATATTCTTCCCTCCGGGGAGATCATGCGCAACTTCAGAACTAGAGACACTTTTGACGACAAGCGGACCTCACCTCATTGGTGCAGATGCCAATGCGCACGCAATGGCATGGGATCGCGCTATCCCCCCTGATACCCGTGGCGATGTGCTAGTGCAATGGTGCCTAGATAATGGCTACGTTATATTCATAACACTGGAGATTGCACTCACCACATCACACGCCATGGCCCCTCCGCGCCAGATGTGACAATATCCCGAGAATGCCGTCTAGAGTCATGGACATCATCCTTCTCCCTGGACAGCGATCATTACATCACACCCTTCGGCGTAGCAGTAGGAGATGATGACGAACCACTGCGGTTCCCTCGCCCTCGTGCACCAATTTATGCATGGAAGAAAGCAAAATGGCCTCGCTTTAGACAAATGTCAAACACACAGTGCAATAAACGTCTTAAAGAGAAAATGAGCGTTCACAAGAAAGAACGACTACTGACCTCCGCCATCCGTATCGCAACAGCTGCGGATGTTCCACGCGGAGGTCGAGACACCACTCCTTTTTGGACTCCCGAGTTAGAGGAAATCGAAGGGAAGATTCACAATTGTAAACCTTCTGTCTCTCAAGACAGACTGGGAGCTCGCAGGAGAGAAATGCTACGACAAGCATCCCATAAGAGATGGAAAACCCTATGTAAT